GCTCCTCAATACATCTGTCAATACATACAAATTTTTTTGGAAGGAAATACCAGAAATTTAACCTTGGTTACTTTTTGGCTGCATGACTTACAAGAAAGAGACGCATTTTAATGCCACAAATTTTATTTTCTTAACCATATACATTCTTATTTTGAAACAGAGTAATAACAAAAAATAGTTTATGTGCTCCATAAACACTGCTTTGAAATTGAAGCAATATTGGCAGGTTTTATGGGAAGCTTAAAAAAAGCTGCAAGTTAATCAAAACAACAATGAGATACCATCTTGCTCCAGCACTAGTAGCAAAGTTCAACAAGACAGAAAATAACAAATGCTGGCGAGGTTGTGGAGAGATTGGGACTCTCATACACTGCTGGTGGGACTGTAAAATGGTACAACCATTGTGGAAAGCAGTATGGCGATTCCTTCAAAAGTTGGAAATACAAATACCATTTGACCCAGCCATCCCATTACTAGGTATATACCCTAAAGAAGCGAGAGCCATGACAAGAACAGATATATGCACGCCGATGTTCATCGCAGCACTATTTACAATAGCCAAAACTTGGAAACAACCTAGATGTCCAACAACTGAGGAATGGATAACCAAACTTTGGTACATTCACACAATGGAATACTATGCAACGCTAAAGAATAATGTAGAATCTGCAGAACACCGCATAACGTGGATGAACTTGGAGGACATTATGCTGAGCGAAATAAGTCAGTCACAAAAGGACAAATATTGTATTAGTCCGTTATTGTAAAAGTTAAGGAAATGTTTATATATTGGAGGACATTTTCTTTGTTGGTTACCAGGGGTGGGAGGGAAGGGGAGGGAATGCTGTTAGATAGATAGAGATAAATATTGATTTGGGTGAAGAGAAGGGCAATGTACCAAATGTGAGTGACCAATATGGCAGCATTGAGGATGAGAAAGACAGAGAGAGTTACATGGGCATTACAAACAACAAATATGAACCCCTTTGTAAATACAATACTGAGTTGTTAATGAAAGCAAATATGGGTATAGGGACGGATAGATGGGTGAACAAGCTAAACAATTATGTATGTCTAAATGGAGAGTGTATCCAAGATCATATACAGGGTTGGCAGAAAATGGGCCTCTCGAAGAGTATGAAGGGATGGACACTGGGAGGAGGTAACTATGGGGAGGAAGTGGGAGGGGAGCTGCTGCATTGTAAATTTTGGTCAATGACATGAGACAAAGTATATGTGAACTGCTGTATGAAAAGTGAATTTACTCTGTAAATCTTCACCCAAATCCTAAAAAAAAAAAAAAAAAAAATTTCTTAAAATAAAAAAAAAAAAAAAAAAATTTTAAAAAAAAAAAAAAAAAAAAAAAATTTTAAAAAAAAAAAAAAAAAAAAAAAATTTTGAAAAAAAAAAAAAAAAAAAAAAAAAAGCTGCAAGTTACTAGTAAGTAATAATTAAGAAACTAAACTTTCTTCCAATAACAATTTATTGTACATACAGACAGCTCATCTTTTCATGAAGACAAAGATGTTTTTCTTTTCACTCATTTAATCCCAAACCTTTCACATTACAGATAATTTCCAGGTAATAAATTTGCTCAGAAAATTCTTCTTTAAAAGATTTTACCCAATTTATTATTATGGCTAAAAAGTAAGTGATTTTTATAAATTAAGAATGCCTTAAGTTATTACACTACATGTCAATTTAACAATAAATTAGACTCTATCAAAAAAAGGTGGGCTTAGGCACTAAAGTGCACCAAGGTCTCATGATGGTAACAAATGGTTACAGTAAAGTCACTACTCAAGTCCAAATTTCTTTACATATAAATACCATCAATTTCATAATGGTGCTATGTAAACAAATTCGAGATTAATATTTGTTATTCGCCTTCAAAGAGGTGATACACGTTACAGCCCATATTTAAGAAAAAAAAATTAGGAAGGATTCCTAATTAAATGGCAAGAATATTAGTACAGAATTACTTTTTTATTTAGCTAAAATATATATTCTATTTGCAAGCTTTATTCTGACACAGAATTCAGCCATTTTTAATAATTTCCCTGAAATATGTAACATGGAGTGTGTGGATGCTGATTAACAAGGAATAGAATGACAGTTGAAGAGTTCATAAATATAAATGCCTGTGTTTTTCCCAACCATCTATTTCACTCTAAGACTAACTACAGTTCATTTAGATTCTGCTGCTTCATTCATCTTTTTGCCTTTTCTACTACTACTTATTCCAGTGAATACTTCCAACCTTTTCAACCTCTCCTTCTAAAGTATTCAAGTTATCTCACTTGGCTACCCATTTCTTTGACCATGTACTACTATGAGAATTCTGTATATAAATACAGCTATAATAAAAACCTAGAATGAACTAACATATTTTTTTCTCCTGAGCAGAGGCAATATAAATGTTTATTACAAATACTCTTTTACCCAAATAAGCCATTATTATTACTATACACCATAATTCAAGATAAGATATCTATACGGAACTTTATAAAAACTAGCATGGTTTCTAGGAATACTATTGCTGTAAGGTGCCACTGAGTCCATTTTGACTCATAGCGACCCCCGTGACAGAGCACAACAGCCCCCAGAGGGTTTTCTAGGCTGGGATCTTTATGGGACCAGATCACCAGGTCTTTTTCCTGCACAGCAGCTGGATGGGTTCAAACCAACCTTTTGGTTAGTAGCTGAAAGCTTTAGCGTTGCACCACTAGGATTCCTTCTAGGAATACTACTACTTAATATGTAATAAAATAAATTTCATTCCTATCTATTTTCAAATCAATTATCAGTATATTATTTTCAAAGTGTCAAACATCTAACTAATAAGCATCTGATAAAGTGAAAAAAAAAAGAGGGAAGAGGAAGGACCAAGGGAAGATAGATACTTCAAGTATCTTTCTATTATTCTGTTTCCTAGTATCAATAATGAACTCTTTAAAAAAAGAAAAAAACATCCAAAATATTAAATTAGATGCAATCACTATACACCCATAATGTACCACATACTGTTGTTGTTGTTGTTATGTGCCGTCAAGTTGGACCCGACCCATAGCGACCCCTCCCTGAGTTTCTGAGGCAGTATCACTACGAAAGTAGATTGCCCAACCCTCCTTCCAAGGAGTGGCTAGTGGGTTTGAACCGCCAGCCTTCTGGTTAGCAGTCAAGTGTCTTAGGCACTATGCAACCAGAGCTCCCATACAAGGAGGATAGGATATATAAAATTGATGATGGGAAAATGCTGTAAGATTTTCCTTAAATACGTCACATAAAAATGTGCATTTATATAACATAATCCAAAGTACATACTTTAGAAGCAATATAGGTTCTATCAGGAGAAAATTTGTCTTTTTGAATGTATCAGTAAAATCTGTGCTTTTAAGTTTCAGCATAACCATTTTAGAATATAACTATAATAGCTCCCTTAACTGACCTCCATTTCAATGACCTGTCTTTACAAGATTCTTTTTACCCTGTATAAATACATCTATGGTACTGTAACCACTTTTAGCTAATATGGATTATTTTTAGTAAATCAGGCACTTCTTATTCCACTAGTTGAGTTATATCCTTAACAAAGGTCATTTGCTTGTTCCTAAACCTGTTTATGCCAGTTATACTTGTGATCCTTATATATTTTATTAAATATTATTATGTAAGTCTATAGGATATGAGTGCAATAAAGGTGGTTTCCATGTAAACTAAATTGAACAAAAATTAAGTAAAATGACTAATAAAGGTGGGTCATATCTTTAAAAGATTCTGAATTAAATAAAAGAGCGACAACTGTAAAATAGTAGTGAAAAATCTTAAACACACACAAAAGCAAAAAATCAGGGCCTGTACTTAAGGTTTTTTAAAGCATCTTTAAACTTTTATTCCATTTGAGAGAAATCAAAACTGGAAACCAAAGATTATGCATTATGGATCTAGTCTATACAAGAACAAGTTAAATTCTCTCAGCTTACATTCAAAGAGATGGCATTTGCTCTATATCAAAAATTTGGCAAATAAATAAGCATTTATATAGTTTCAGTTAAAATAAAAAATTATAAGCTTTGAGTTTTGTTTCTATGATCCTTCTGCTTTAATGTTTTAAATAACCTACCAAGTAACTGTCCTAATTCCATCAGATATGAAAGCGTCTAACATCTTTTTTTCTGAAGTCCTTAACCTGGTTTGGCATACAAATTAGATAAATACTACACGTCTATACAAAATAATGTTGTTGTTGTTATGTGCTGTCGTGTCGAGCCCAACTCATAGCGACCCCTCTTTGGGTTTCCAAGGCGTGGCTGGTGGGCTTGAATGGCCAGCCTTCTGGTTAGCAGTCAAGTGCCTTAGGCACTACACTACCAGAGCTCCTATACAAAATAACAGTATGTAGTAATAAGTACTCCAAAGTAAGTATGGAAAAAAATATTAGAATATTTGCTCTACAGGACATGAAATCTTTATCTATTTTATTCATAGATGGATTCCAAGTGCCTAGCATAAACCCCAAAACCAAACTCATTGCTAGAGAGTCAATTCCCAACTCATAGCGACCCTACAGGACAAGGCTGTAAATTGTTTGAGAAAGAAGGGCTGCCTATGCACAGGGAGACAGCTCAGGGGGCAGGAGTCCATGGAGGGATGGACACTAGGAAGAGGTAACTATGGGGAGGAAGTGGGAGGGGAGCTGTTACATTGTGGTAAACTGTGGTCAATGTCATGAAACTGCTGTATGGAAAGTGAATTTGCTCTGTAAACCCTCACCCAAATCACAATAAAAAAGAAAGAAAAAAAAAAGGCTGTAAACTGTTTACAGAAGCAGACTGCCACATCTCTCTCCTGCAGAGGTAAGTTCGAACTGCCAACCTTTCAGTTAGCAGCCGAATGCCTGACCCAGTGCACCACCAGAATTCCTTAGCTCCTAGAATAGTGCCTGGTATACAGTTGAGGCTCAATAAATATGTGCTAAATGAAAGAGACAAGCAACTTACCGTGATGACAGCTTTGCTAAGACAGATGGATCCTCTGCAGCCATATTCTGTTTCATCTTCAGATTTGTAATAACTCAGAGTATTATTTTTCAAAACTACCCAACGATCCTGCCAACCATGAATGTAGTTTGTCCACTGGTAGGAGTTGGGGGGAAAGAAGAAAACAGAAACAAAAAATATTTTAGAAATCCAAACTTTCTGAAACAGCAATCTATTTTTACACCTAAAATGTGACAAGTCCTAACTCAATTATGAACAAAGCAATAAAAATTATTATGAAAGTGAAAAGCTTCAATTTTCTAGATTGCATAACCCTTTGTCACTTTCACAAAATTATGAGCAAAATAAATAATTAATTAAAGATAACATTTTTCTCTTTCTAATATTTGAGGAATGGAATTGAAACAGTATCTTGGTTAAAAATTCTGCTATTTTCTTTGCGTGTTTTCATCCTCCCCTCCCCCTCATCTTCCTTGTTGTTGTTGTTGTTGTTATGTGCCGTCGAGTCGGCCCCGACTCATCTTCCTTATAGAATCTAATTTGTTTTGGCCCCTGCCATAAGGAACACATTCAATAGAAAAGTTAAGTTCAGTTTTATAACTTCTAACTCTCCAACACTAAGTACTGCATGAAGCCTTCTAGAATGAAGCCAATAACATAACTGATAAAATGAAGCCAATAACAATAACTGATAAAATTTCATTTTTGTTGTAAGTTATTCCCATATGCAAATTTATGATGACTGTAACTACACATAGTAAAAATACTAAATGATTATCTTTAATAACTACATCTAGTTTAATTTTTCCTTTATAGAACTCAGTATCACATTTAAAATAGTTAATTTGTTTTCTGAATTTCTCTGAAGATATATTTTTCTAATCCAATAGTAATACTACAAATATAAAACTGGTTTTCAAAAACATGCCTGGGATTGTCCCCAATATTTATAAATGCTTTCTTTGTTGTGAAAATCTTGTTGCACAATGATGGTCACAATCAATAAACTGGCAAAGGCAGAAAAGTAATCTTTATAGGGATTCCTAGATTTTGCCTATTTTATACTCTGTAGGTTTTCAATATAGATAATTCCAAAAACCATCTGCAAAATTTAAAATAAATTGTTAAAATGTATCACATTGTATCAGGCTTTTTACCCACAGATAAAATCTTTATTTTCCTAGTCCTTAATTTAGCTTGTTTAATATTAGTTCAGCTCTTGAATTTTCTAAGTCCTGTCAATACAATCAATGAGAGTTGACTCATACTGACAATTTAGCTCATTCTTTTCTATATGCTTTCTAGTCACCATTTTCTTATTTCTAACTGCCTGAGACTTACCATTATGTGGACACCTACTTGGATTAATGATGGTTACATAGAAAACTGAATTCACCTCTTTGCATATGGTACAGTTCCTTCCTATGTTCCCATTTCCCTTCACTGCACTGCTACTACTGGCCATTCAAACTCAAACATGGCTCAGGGTTATTATTGTACAGAGTAATGGATACAGTATTAGGCTGACTTGGCTATTTTACTAGGCATGTGAGAAGCTTTGACAAATTACTTAGCTTTCCCAAGCTTCAGTTTCCTACTCTGCTGTTTAGATAAAATGATTATGCCTAGCATGTTCATAAGAGATACTCAATACCTGACTGTTCTTTCTCAGTCTTTACAATCCATCATTAAATCCTGTTCATCTTTCTTCCACATTAAACTCTTATATTTGCCTCCTTTTCTCTATTTCAATGAATTCATTCAACTTATCAGGTTCTTAGATTCATGAGAAGGCTTAATGACCTCTAGTATCTTCCATTTTTTTATTTCATAACTTACATAATCTTATTTAATTATTACATTCACTTACTTAAGTTACATATTGATATTAATTCATCTCCAGCTCCAAAACTTACATTAATAACTTCTCACTGCCTACCATGCAAATAGTTTAGACCAGCATTCAAAACCTTCTATTAATTAATCCTACACTTTGCTTTCCAGTACTATACTTTCTAAGATCAGTAACCGTGTGACTATGGGCAAATTACTTATCCTCTTTGTTTCTTTGTAAAAATTTACCTCTTTGGCTTGGAAGCAGGGCTAGGGATCTACTGCCGAAAAGTCAGCCATTGCAAACCCTACAGAGCAAAGTTCTATTGTGATATTCATGAGGTAGCCCTGAATTAGAATCAATTCATAAGTAACTTTATTTATCATAAAATTTCTAAAATCTAGGTGTTTTACAGTGGGTGAGATTTTCTGAACTTTAATATAGAAAAAATAGGAGATCTCAGTAGATTATTTTTAATGATGACAAAGATATTCTCATTTTTCCAGGTTTATGTCTCTCAGGCTTAAACATTTGGAATCACCTTGATTCTGTTTGCATCCTTGTTGCTGAATCCAATCAGTCATCGAAACTTTACTGCTACTTCCTGTCATACCAGATAAGTCATGGGTTTTCAACCTTGACTGTTCATCTGGATTACCACTGGGATGCAAATCCTTTTCCCAGAATTTCGTATTCTTTACATCCACAGATTATTGGTAAGAATCATTTTGGTAGGTATTTAATAAATTTATATTGAAGTAAAAAAAAAAAAATTACCTCTTACTGTTGTTGTGAAGCTTAAGTAAGAATACAATTAGAAAAATGCCTACAGGATTTCTGGTAAGATGGACAAATAGGCAGACAAACGACACAGACCCTCTTCAACAAAGAAAAGAAAAACCGATTGACAGAGATACAGAAGATAATCCTGGAGCCCTGAGTTTTGAAAGAAACTATACAGAAGTGGATTAGGCCCTAACTAGTGGACAATCAAAGCTGCAGAATGTCAGCTACTCCAATGGGACCAACAGCCTGAATAGTTCCAAGTGGTGTTGGGAACTGAGAATTGACCTTAAGATTACCTCTGGTCACCAAGGGCTGCAGGGATGACTGCGCTAGTGGCCTATGACTAGGAAAGGAAACAGCAAGGTGGGAGACAACCTGAGCTGTTGACTTTCCACTGTCCGGAGGATGGAGCTATTTTGATTGTTTACATGCGGCAGCCATTTTGGATATTTAAAGTGACGGAAGGTGCAGCCATTTTGAATATTTACAAGCAGCGGCCATTTTGGGTATTTAAAGTGACCGAGGGCACAGCCATTTTGAATCTTTACAAGTGAGAACCATTTTGGATTTTAAAGTGATAGCATTTTCATTTGGATTCCAGGGACCTAAGAATAGGCTCTGTTTGCCAAGGTTGGCAGGGACATACGAGAGGCTGACAACAGGAAAGGGGACAGGTGGTGATGTATAAATGCTGCCCACTAGCAAATAGAGGACCATAGCACAGTACCCTGCTTGTGTAGATAACATACAAACAAAACAAAATGAAAATTGTGGACCAGTCACTCCAACATACAATCACCAATTAAATTTAAACACAAAAACATCGTAATGCCTAGGAGACAACAGGACATCAAAGTCCACACAAAGAAGCAAGATAAAGCAGGAGAAACAAGAGACTAGAATACAGACCCAAAACACATCCCTGAAGAAGACGCAGCACTGAAACTCCCTGATAAGGAATTCAAAAGAATTATATTTATGTACCTTCAATGAATTGAGAGACAGATCAAGGAAAACACAGAAAAACCCTAGAACAATTCTGAAAGACAATACAAGAACAAAATAAAGGAAAAATTGATACAAAACGTACACACAGAAATCCAGAATATTAACACTAAAGTTTCAGACACAAATAAGACATTGAATCGGCAAAGGAGCAGAATCAAATCAATGGAAGACAGAATTAGTGAGATTGAAGGCAAATACCTGAACATTTCTTTGGAAAGGAATAAATCAGAAAAAAGATAAAAACAAAATGAAGAAAGCCTAAGGTTCATGTGGTATACCATCAAAAGGAATAACCTACATGTAATCAGAATTACAGAACAGGAAGAGACAAATAAAACCAAAGAGAAAATCTTGTCCAAGATTTGTTGGAGGAGAACTCCCCTGATATGATGAAAGATGAGAATATATCCATTCAGGAAGTCCAATGAACCCCAAACAGGATACACCCCAAAAGAAAATCACCGAGACATATCATCATCAAACTTACCAAAACCAAAGACAAAGAAAGAATCATGAGAGCAGCACGGGAAAAACAAAAAGTTCGCTACAAGGGGCAACCAGTAAGACTAAGCTCGGATTTCTCAGCAGGAACCATGCAGGTGAGAAGACAATGGGATGGTATATATAAAACCCTGAAAGAGAAAAATTTCCAACCAAGAATTATGTACCCAGAAAAATTGTCCCTCAAACATGGTGGTGGTGAAATTAGGACATTTCCAGAAAAGCAGAAATTAAGGGAATTTGTTAAAACCAGACCAACCTTACAAGAGATGCTCAAGGGAGCCCTTTGGACAAAGAAGCAACAACAGCCAACAACAACTGACCATTATCACTCTTGGTGATATAACCCAGAAACCAACCCAGCCATGGAAGTATCCAAAGTAAATAAGCCTACAAGATTATAAACAGGGAACCAGAGACATCAATTGACTAATGAAGACAACTACAAACCAAAAAGGGGAAAAACTGTGTCATTACAGAACTTCTAGATGATAGGGAAGTCAAGAAAATTACAAGATAGAACAGACTATTCTCCACTTGGGAAGAAAACTATAAATCACAGGGTAACATCAAAGAAAAATGATAAACCTTCACATCAAAAAAGAGGACCACCATAAATATTCAGCAAATACTAAAAAAAAAACAATGAAGGAAGTGATAACACGATGCATAAACAAAACGAGCTCAGCACAGAAAATTATATGTAACTAAGAAATCGACACCACGGAAAAGCACATAACAAAAATGACAGCAACAAGTTCATATTTGCTGATAATTGCACATCTGGCAAGGGACTTATCTCTAAGATTTATAGCCAAAGAGTGGATGACCAAACTACGGGATGCACACATAATAGAATACTATGCAGCACTAAAGAATAATGCAGAGTCTGCAAAACACCACGTAATGTAGATGAACTTAGAGGACATTATGCTGAGTGAAATAAGTCAATCACAGAAGGACAAACACAGCATTAGTTCATTGTTGTGGAGGGTCAAGGAAAGGT